GGAGGACTAAAATGAATCGGAAATTGTATCCCTCAAGGAGGGTTCGTAATCAATACATATTTGTTCCAGCCAAGCCACGCGTAGATGAAGTGAACTCTCTCTCTCTCTCTCTCTCTCTCTCTCTCTCTCTCTCTCTCTCTCTCTCTCTCTCTCTCTCTCTCTCTCTCTGTCTCTCTCTCTCTGTGTCTCTGTGTCTCTCTGTCTCTCTCTCTCTGTGTCTCTCTGTCTCTCTCTTAATTGTCCGATTTGACAACGTTTTGAATCGGTGACCTGTGATAATATCTACTGAATCACAGGTGAAAAGGGGAGCGGAGCGAGGCTGGTTTCCATCACTGACGTACGTTCCCCTTTCAGAGGGCTGAACTGTGGAAGTCTCCAATTTGACGCGAGTTCGACTCCGGGGTGTGTGAGCAAGCATCTGGCGGATCATCATCATCATCATCATCAGGTGAAAAGGTAAGCGAAAGCGGGTTTTACTGCAGAGTTTTTTGTTTTGTTTTGTTTATTGTATTGTTTTGGTTTGGTTTGGTTTGTTTTGTTTTGTATTGTTTTTTTAATTATTTGGACCATTGTTCGCAAATTCTGGGTGCCATCCTTGAAAGCGCAGGGGCCATGCGAATCGGTTGTTAAAAAAAAAAAAATCGGTTGTCTGTGTATCGTTCCAATCCTTTTAACGGATGTCTCCCGAAGAACCTCGCACATAATTTTTACAGAGACGTATCTGGTCGTGTTGCAGGACAAGATACATTCAAAATGGGTACTACAGTGGGGCAGTTTCCCGTCGTGACGAAGAGGGCCGTCGATGTAATCGAGGGTCACGAGACAACTGTGCTTCTGTCGGGATACGAGGATCGGATCATGGTGATGGTTTCCCAAATAGGAAAGTTAGGAACACTATTATTTGCCAAGCGAGAAGAAATCTATGACGGTCCTAAGGCGTTCCAAGTCGATACCATTTTAGGAAAGAGAGATGAACCCATGCTCACGGTCTGTGCACGCCAGCTGATTGAGAAGATCAGCATGGCAGGTTCTCGGTGGGCTCACCTGCCATTGCTACTCTCCATCTCCTTGAAGGACCACTCCCCAGCCATGATCAAGGGGGTCATCGCGTTCGTTGAAGAAAATCGGATCTGGTAGGCAAACAGGGGATCGTTCTCAAAAAGCACGCGCGCGCGCGCGCGAGAGAGAGAGAGAGAGAGAGAGAGGAGCAGTGAGTCACACACACACACACAGAGAGAGAGAGAGAGAGAGAGAGAGAGAGAGAGAGAGAGAGAGAGAGAGAGAGAGAGAGAGAGAGAGAGAGAGAGANAGAGAGAGAGAGAGAGAGAGAGAGAGAGAGAGAGAGAGAGAGAGAGAGAGCTGCTGCAGAGAGAGAGAGAGAGAGAGAGAGAGAGAGTGAGAGAGAGAGGAGCAGTGAGTCCAACCCCGGCGTAATTTGGTCTCGGAACGTTGATGATCAGCAAATGAACTGTGCTTTACATGTAAATCATTTCCATCTTTTCTTTTTTCTTTTTTTCTCCTTCGTGTTCCTTTCTCTTAGCTGTTTACAGTGAGCGAGCGAGCGACACACGCACACACACACGCACAGACAGAGAGAGAGAGAGAGAGAGAGAGAGAGAGAGAGAGAGAGAGAGAGAGAGAGAGAGAGAGAGAGAGAGAGGACCCAATTTTTTTTTTCTGAGCGATGGGTCCAACACCGGTATGATTTGGACTTGGGAACGTTGATGATCAGCGAAGGATCTGTGCTTTACATGTAGAATCAGTTCCAGATTTTCTATTCAATGCACAGGAGGATAAATTTTGAATTGTTTTCCAGAACTTTTTGATTTTTTTTGTTTGTTTTGAGAATGTTGAATGTGACTGCTGCTTAGTTCTCGAATATCGAAATGTATGAGCTTACAGATGTGGAAACTGATGTGGAAATGATTCTTCCATATCAGTAAAAGCTCATACATTTCGTAAAGCTGCATTGTTTTCTGACCTTTTCTGAACTTTTTGAGGGCGATCTCTGTCTCTGCAATGTGTGTGACGTCACGTTTTGTTTCTCTTTCGTAAGTCTGCATCTTCTTGTCTGTGAGTGCTGCTCTTTTTTTTTGCTTTTTTTTTGTGGATATTCGACATTTAGCATACAACTCTGCACTTTGTGACACCGTCATTTTGCCTGTACCGAGCCGGAAAGATGGCTTGTATGCAGTCATTATCAGGGTGCGTTCTGTTCGGGGGAAGACGGTAGCTCGGTTCGGTTGGCACGCCCACGAACGCACTGTTGAAATACAGACCAGACCCAGGTTCCCATCCCAAATGCAATACTATGAACGATGATGACCAGACCCAGGTTCCAACCCAAAGGCAATACTATGAACGATGATGACCAGAATAAAATCATTTGAATTAATCTGGGGCCGGCCGGTCAGTTCAATGATGATATATATCTTTTTTTTTTTTTTTTTTTTTTTTTTTTTTGGGAATGATGATATGATGATATCTATCTCAGGGACGTCACCCTTTTTTTTTTTTTCCAGAAAGAAAGAAAGAAAGAAAGAAAGGTGTAGAGGACTGCGTATGGTGTTTAAATCTGGCTATCTTTGCTACCGTCTTCCTCCGAACATAACGCACCCTGAAAATGAACGTATACAAGGTATGTTTCCGGCCCGATACAGGCAAAAAGGGGGTGCGTTGTGTTCGGTGGAAGACGGTAGCAGTCCTCTATGTAGAGGGTGTTTTGGGACTGAGGCAGGCTTAATTATGCCAGCAGCTACATGTTATATATGTACGTCTGCAAAGGACTCTGAGAATCTGAGAATTCTGCGGGCGGATCGTCAGACATGCAAGGGCCTCCGTTCACAACGGTGCTGCTCGCCGTGGAAACGTATGGGCAGTTGGGAACGGGACCGAGCGGTACCGAACGGGACCGAACGGGACCGAAGAGGACTGGAATCTCGCCCAGTAGCTGCCCATTCCTACAAGTAAAGAGAGCATCGACCGTATGGGCGTAAAGAGAGCACGGCGGACACTACATGGTCCAGATTGGGATGCAACGTCTGGATCTGATCGGGACAAGGAGTCGACCTGAAGAAATGTGTTTAGTTTCGTTTTGTTTTTTGTTTGTCGCCTCGGTTTGTTAATCACAATTTTGGTTTTGAATTCTTTTTTTTTTGCTTCCCCCCTCTCTATTCTTTACTAAGCTATATGCTTTTTCTGTCGATTTCACCTTTCACTGTCTACCTACCACTACTACTAAGCCTATACAGGGGAACCCTGCAAGCATAGCTACCTCTCACAATCAAGGGGGGGATGCTTGTTGCCCCCTAAACCCTAATCGGCGGTGGTCAGGGAGTAGGGTGGGGGTATAGGAGGAGGAGGGAAGGTGATGGAGATAAAGAGGGAGGAGGAGGAAAATGGGAAGGTGGGAGTAGAGGAGGAGAAGGGAAGAGGGTGGAGATTGACGTGGCCTCGGGATGGAAAATGGCGAGAAAGGGAAGGTGATGATATTGACGTGGCCACGGGATGGAAAATGGCGGGAAAGGGAAGGTGATGAGATTGACGTGACCTCGGGATGGAAAATGGCGGGAAAGGGAAGGTGATGAGATTGACGTGGCCTCGGGATGGAAAATGGCGCCCATCTATTCGTGGGGAGCAGCACGTGATGGGAACGGGGCCCAGCGTCCCATATGAAATTCACATAGAATTTGAAAATTTTAAGATACCGGGACCATTACCTGGCAGTGGCTAAGAAAAATTTGAGCTACTTAGGAAATTACTACAACAACCTTCAAAAATAGGCGAAGTTTCAGAAAGTTTTAAAAAACGTATGACAACACTGACAGAGATTAGCATGATGGATACACACATACACACACACACACACACACGCACACACACGGAGAGAGAGAGAGAGAGAGAGAGAGAGAGAGAGAGAGAGAGAGAGATTGCGGTAAATGCATTATGCAACTCATCCAACTCCATCTGGGCGCAAGGGCAGCGGGCAAAGATGGCCATTTGTGTTTTCTTCCACCACGGGCTGCCCCAGCCCAGGCAATGGGCTTAATGGGACTCGTCCATGTTGGAGGGGCAAACATAAAGATGCCTGGTACCGGGAGGGCCATTTGCAGAAACGAGCCAGCTCAGGGAACGGCCTCAGGCCTTCAACAGCTGTACAGGACCAAAAAGAAAAAGTGGCAGGAGGGGCAAACATAAAAGATGCCTGGTACCTGGAGGGCCATTTGCAGAAACGAGCCAGCTCAGGGAATGGCCTCAGGCCTTCAACGGCTATACAGGGGCAAACAGAAAAAGTGGCAGGTGGTAGGGGTATTTGCAAAATCTTTTGGCAAGGGTCCAATTGCCAGGAATGAAGGGGCGTATGGAGAAGTCGCACAGGGCCCGGTAGGGGTATATGCGAATGATGGCGGGTCCAAATGTAGAGCGGGGTATTTCACAAAGTTTCATGACTGTCATAGGGCCATTTCGCCATACCCATCTATGCCTTTTAGGTGTATCTGGCCAAATATCCCAACTTTCAGGGCCATTTCAACAATTTTCCCTTTAATTTCTTTGAAAATTCGCAATTTGCAAAAGTTTCAAAAAATAAAAAATGCATTGTTTAGTATGTTTACTATGTTGAATCTAATTCGAACCACTTCAGAGAAGTTCATACTTCCAGATTCTGGACCTCAGACCCCAGACCGGCTGAAGGCAGGTCAGGATGGGATGTATGTCCGGATGGCAGCCTCGGTAGCCACGTCAAAAAGGCTGTTGATGTGTGAGAGACTCACAAGCCAAGCCTATTGGCTTGAATGGTACACACACATGTAACTGTTAATAAACAGATGATGAGTTCAAATCCTGAAGGAATCGA